GATCCAGCTCCAAATGTTCCAGACACCCTCCTGTTATCACTGGGCACTTCCATGAGAGGATAACAGTCAGTTTAAAGAGAGAAAAAGGCTCTTGGCCTGAGCTGACCCAGGCTCTGTGTCCTCTGGACAGGGTGTTCCCTCTGTATCCCACGGGAATGATCTGGCTGGGATAGCAACAATCCCTCGGCTTGGGGAGGATTTATCCTGGATTAATTCACAGCAGCACCACAACTCTATTAATTTATGGGAGAGGAAAGCAAACCAATCATTGGATATGGATTAATAAGGAAAAGAAAATGAGGAAAAAGAAAACCTGCCAGGAAAAGAGGAAATGAAAGGGAAATATCACCTGGACAGAGCTGGGGAATAAACAAAGTGAAAACCAACAAAACCCACTGGTGATGGGGGTAAAATGACAGATAGTGGGGAAAACCAGCCAAAAAAAAGTTGGAGAGGGATTTTTGACAAGGATATGGAGTGACAGGACCCGGGGGGAATGACTTCCCACTGCCAGGAGAAGGGTTAGCTGGGATATTGGGAAGGTGTGCAATCCCAGAATGGTTTGGGTTGGAAGAGACCTTAAATCCAGTTCCACAGGGACACCTCCCACTGTCCCAGGTTGTTCCAGCCTGACCTTGGACACTCCCAGGGATGGAGCAGCCACAGCTTCTTTGGGCAACCTCTGGCAGAGCCTCCCCACCCTCACAGCCAGGAATTCCTTCCCAATATCCCATCTAACAGTGGGAAGCCATTCCCTGTGTCCTGCCCCTCAATCCCTTGTCCCCAGTCCCTCTCCAGCTCTCCTGGAGCCCCTTTAGGCCCTGCAAGGGGCTCTCAGGTCTCCCTGGAGCCTTCTCTTCTCCAGGGGAACCCCCCCAGCTCTCCCAGCCTGTCCCAGTACAGATTTCATGGAATTCCTTCCCGGAGCGTGTCACTGCAGCTGGAAAACCCCACGTTCATCCCTCACATCCAGGACACCAATCAGCAGGGAATACATCCATGATAGAAGGAATTAGGGGATTTCATATCCAAGAGCTCCAACCCAAATCCCAGAGCTCTTGGTGGGAATCAACATTGTCTTGGAAGGGACCTCCAAGATCCCCCCAGTTCCATGGGTAGGGCCACCTTCCACTATCCCAGGTCGCTTCAAGCCCCATCCAACCCGGCCTTGGCCACTCCTGCCGTGGGGAGCACAAGGATCCAGGTGGTCCATGAGCTCCAGGCTGGGAATTTTTAGGCTCTCAGCTCGTCCCACCCTCGCCAGACAGATGTTTGTAACAACCCAGGAGGGGAAGGGAGGGAACGTCAGAGGAACAGGGGGAGGGTTTCCAGCTTGGGAATCATCTCTTGGAATGAGATCTGCCACACAGAACCTCTGGAACTCAGGCACCTGTTTTACTGCAGTGGGATCAAATCAGTGCCCATTCGTTTTCCGTGGCAGCAAAACCCTGCCTGGAGCAGCATTTCAGTGGCATTTTGAGGTCAAATCCCAACATCCTGATTGTTCCACAAGTGTTTTGCCTCCTGGGCATCTTTTTGCAGGTCTGTTTTATTTATTTATTTATTTATTTACTTACTTACTTATTATTTTTAAACCAGCACAGAGTGTCCAGCCTGGAGAACAGACCTGAGAGCCCCTTCCAGAGCCTAAAAGGGCTCCAGGAAAGCTGGAGAGGGATTTTGGGTAAGGGATGGAGTGACAGGACAAGCCAAGTGAGAGTTAAGATTGAGGATTTTTCCCAGGACTTTTGGGAAGAGGCGCTGCAATCACTGCCAGAGCAATCAGCTGGATCTCAGGTGCTGCAGGAGATGCTTTCAAATTGTCTCATTTCCATAGGGAAGAAGGTCAGGAGGGATTAAGGAAGTAAATACATCACCTGATTAGGAGTTCAGGGCGTCCCAAGGACTCAGGCAGTGAATATTCAAGCAGGTCTTTGCTTCCCAAAGGTTTAGGCAGTGAAATGGCACATGTAAGAAGTGATCTGGGCAAAAAACTGGAGATCCCACCTTGTTCCCAGAGTGCAAATAAACATTTTAGTTTCCCAACTGCCTTTTCCATTGTAATTTCCTTATTTACCTTGGGAAAACAAAGGTGGAAGAAGAAAGGGAAGATCCACAGGCAAACTGTGACCTCCCAGGTCACCACTCTCTGGGTGGGTTTTTCTAGAAGCTGAGGGCACTTCCTAATTATTCCTCTTAATTTGGGCAGCATCTGATGCCAGAATATCCCCCTGCACTGCTTTAACCACCTGAGAGGTGTCCCTGCCCCGTGGGATGACCTTTAAAGGTCACTTCCAACCCCAGCTATTCCATGACTACAATTCTCAGCTGCTCCTCTCCAATATCCCAGTAAACAAGTAGGTTTTTAATCTCCCCACTAATTGCCCATTCTTGGAAAACAAAGCACTGTCCTGTTCAGCATCCCGAGGCACCTGGGCTGTGAATGGGAATGTTTTTGGGACGAGCCTCCTTTCCTGTCTCTGCCAGGTGACTCATCCCGCTGAATTTGGGAGGATGTGGAAATCCATTGAAAAAAGCAGCAGCAGCAGCAGCTGCAAAAGCTTTGTGTCCACAGATCCTGTAAACTTTGGGGGGGGGGGGGGGGAAA